CTTCTACAGAATTCAAAAACAGAACTTGTCTACAGCGTTAGAATACAAGGAATGCAAGCGGCACTGGGGGTCCTGGTCCTGGTATATTTCTTGAGCTAAGTGCTAATCACATGACTGTGCTAATTTAGTGAAAATTCATCTAGCTGTACCCTGTCCTACTTCTGTCATACTTCATTAAAAATCTTAAATTAAAAAGGGTTCCCAACTGCTGGATCAGGATTTCTAACAATCCTTTCCTATCACCAAGATTCATTATCTCTACCATGCTCAGGGACGTGAGTATCAGCAGTCCTACATCATCCCCACGGCTCTTCAGGATTCAAACATCAGTATCTCTGTTCATATGCTACCAACAGCTACCACTTGCTAATTATCTGCCATAAGCCAAGCATTCGAATATTCAATTATTCAAATATTTATTGAGTATCTACTCAATAAATGCACCAAAAACAACACATGGTCCCTGGCTTCAAGGAGTTCATAATCTTATAGAAGACCACATATACAGATAATAAGGTAAATGCACAGAGATACATACAGGAAATTATAAGAGTACAAAGAAACATCAAACACAGCCTGGGGGAGGCAAGGTATCAGGGTAGGCTTTTTACAGGTGGTAACACCAGAGTCTTTAAACGATGTCTTTAAAGTAGTAACTATCCTGGCAAAGTACTGCAACCAAGGGAATAGCCTGGGCAAAAGCACAGTGATCAGAAACAGCATAATGTATTTAAACTAACAATGAACAGATGCTAGATGTTTCTTGAGTGTGGTAAAAGCCAGAGCTGGGATGGGGTGGCGGAAGTGACACCAAACAGATAGGAAGAGACCAAGTCTTGAAGGGACTTATCCAAAAGGCAACAGGGCCAGTGAGGTTGTAAGCAGTGTAGAGGATGGACTTAAAAGTGATTACGACTGGCAGCAAGAAAGCTAGTTAGGAGACACTTGTAACTGTCCTGACATAAGATGACAAGGGCTTAAAACAAGAAAATGAAAGCTGTAAAAAAACCTAGAGAAAAGAATACGTATAGATACCTTGTACTGCTGGTCCAGAGATCACATTTTGAGAACCACTGACCTACACTAGCGGTCGACGAACTTTTTCTGAAAAAAGCCAAAGAGTAAATACTTTAGGCACTGTGCATCACATATGATCTCTGTTATATTTCCGCTCTGGTTTTTTCTTTTAACAACCCTTTTTTCTTTTAACCACCGTTCTTAGCTCATGGACCCTACCAAAAAAGGCAGCAGCTGGATTTGGCCTGTGGGCCCTGCTATAACTTATAAAGAAGTGATCATTAACCTTCCAATGAGATTAATTTTCCTAAAATGCTACTTGCATCATATTAGTCCCCTACTCAGAAACTTTTCCATTGGTTCTCACTGTCTACTGAGTAAGTCATATTCCTTAGCCAAGCACTCATAAGCGTCTACAATCTAGTGTCAATTGTGTGAACTCTATTCTTATTAAACCAGCCTATTTACATTTACCTGCCTCTGCATCTTTATGGTGTTTCCCAGTGTTCTTTCCTCCAGCTCCAAAGCTACCCAAATACCATTCCTTCAAAGCACAATTCAAATCCTACCTACAAGTGATCCCTCCCTCCTCAGAACTCCTAAAAACACTTATCTCAACTTATCTGAAATGTATTTGTACATTCATTTACTCAAATATTTACTGAGTATCCACCAAGCACAAAACAATGAATAAAACACAGTTCCTGGCTTTAAGGAATTCATAATACCTTGAGTTATTACTTACTTCAAATAAACTACAACTTTGTTAAGAACAGGGAACTACTACTGTTACTCCCTGTCAATAGATCTAGCATATAACGAGTAAATAAAAATGACGATACACATTTTGTAAATACATTTTTTTATGAAACAGCTAGATAATTGAAGTCAATGGGATTTAACTCTTACTTATATCAGTAACTGAAGGTAGCTGTTGTTAGGTGCCGTCAAGTCAGTTCCAACTCACAGCAACCCTATATACAACAGAACTAAACACTGCCCGGTCCTGCGCCATCCTCACAACCGTTACTATGTTTGAGCCCCATTATTGCAGCCACTGTGTCAATCCATTTCATAGAGGGTCCTCCTCTTTTTCGCTGACCCTCTACTTTACCACGTATGATGTCCTTCTCCAGGTCCCTCCTGATAACACGTCCAAAGTACATGAGACAAAGTCTCAACATCCTCGCTTCTAAGGAGCATTCTGGTTGTACTTCTTCCAAGATAGATTTGTTCATACTTCTGTCAGTCCATGGTGTATTCAATATTCTTCACCAACACCAAAACTTAAAGGCATCAATTCTTCTTCAGTCTTCCTTATTCACTGTCCAGCTTTCACATGCATATGAGGTGACTGAAAATACCATGGCTTGGGTCAGGAGTACCTTAGTCCTCAAAGTGACATCATTGCTTTTTAACACTTTAAAGAGGTCTTTTGCAGCAGATTTTTCCAATGCAATACGTCCTTTGATTTCCTGACTGCTGCTTCCATGGGCATTGATTGTGGATCCAAGTAAAATGAAATCCCTGACAAGTTCAATATTTTCTCCGTTAATCATAATGTTGCTTATTGGTCCAGTTGTGAGGATTTTTGTTTTCTTTATGTTGAGATGTAATCTTATGGACACAACCTGAATGGTATAGGAACTACAAAATACTGGACTGTGGGAGAAGTAGACAAATGCATCTGTCTACTATTCCTTATAATAACAATACTAGTAGAATTTTTCCAACAGTCAATGTTACCAATATGGGTAAACTTGCATAATATTAAATACAGAAGTTGCTAGACCAACTCAAAGTTTACTTGCCTGTATGTTTACTTCACTTATGCTAAAAATTCAAAATAAGTTTTTACAACTAAATGGCTTTAAATTCATACTCAGTTATTACTCAAGTTTAAAAAATCATACACATGGCCTCAATCTTTTTTTAATAAAGTTCTCTATGACAATTCACGCTACCAAAATGACATTATTGATTTTATTCAAAATTTAGGAAAATACAGACATATTTTAAAATCTTAATAGTTAATTTTAGTTTACTGCTTAGAAATAGCTATAACTACAGAATTTTTTGAACCGGCAACAACCTTAAAGGATTCATCTTATATTTGAGAAGATATACTACCAAAACTTCTCAAGTCCAAAGTGTTACCTATGCCTTATTTTATCACACAAAAAAATGTTCAAGAATCTATAAAAGTGCCTCTAAAATCATTCCACATGTCAATGCAAACTCAAAAAAAAGTTTAAAACATTTATGGAAAGGTTCAGAAAACCAAAACAAAAGAAATAAACCATAAGATGGCATCAAAGTGCAAATAAGACTAACTTTTTACAAAACTCTGAAGAAAAAGTTTAGTTATTTACAGTCCAGAAAAGACTATTACACTGATAAATACTAAGACACTAGCCTGGTGACTGGAGGATAAACCCAAGAGCCAGGGATTCCCATTTCTCAACTGCTGTTCTGACACTGGCTTAGTATAGATACTGTCTTGGGCACATTACTGAACTTTTCTACATGTCTCCCCATAAGTTTAAAAAGAACAGCTTAACTAACATCCTCAGGTTGTGAGAATTGATTAAATGTTAATGAAGTACTTTAGGATCATAAAGGAAATCCACTGCATCTATAAAAAATAGTATTTGTTTAATACAAAACTATACCTAACTGTAAGGGTTATAAATCCAACCATGACAATACTTTCGTGTTTTCCTAACATAGCAAATCTTCAGTGAGTCAGTAAGGTGCATATATACTCAAGAGCCAGTTTAGCAACCTCAGAAAAATTCATTTTCTTCCAAATCTGTTTTCCCACAAATCAAATCACTATCCAACCCAACTATTTGCAATGGGAAACATGATCTGATTTAACATTAAGAAGTTACCAGTTGTTGATAAACTAATTCCAAATGACTGAAGACTAAGGAATCACAGTGGAACTGTCTTTGTTAACATACCAGAAAATGTAACTCCTGAAAATAATCCCAGGAAACAGTCGTTCTAACAAGAACTCTAAAATGTTTTTAGACAGTTGTTAAACTAGTTCCTTAGGTAGTTCCAGCAACTGCTTGGCGTTGAACGACTACAGGCTGGGAAGGCTGCTCTGGAAAAGTGCCGATGCCATCTCTAGCTGCCCCGTTCGTGAATGACAGTAACAATGAAAACACTGACAAAGAGCTGGGAGGCCACCCAAAGCCTCTCTCAGCAGTACTTCTGCACTACCCCAACATACAAAGCTCCAAATCCCGGAGAATGCTCTCCTCTTAACAGAACTCACACGCTGAGACCTTGTCTCTAGCCAAGAACGTGAAAAAGTACTATTCTTCACTCCCAGCCTTTCAACAGCGCGGAGCACCTCGTCGGTGCCTCTCTTTCTAAACTGTCAGAGGAAAAAGGAGAAAAGACTTCCTCTCACATTAAGGGAAGGGAACCAGGTGTACAGATGTCGACAACTCCCTCTGGTCGAGGGCGCCTGAGGCTTTGGCAGCGGGAGAAAAGGAAAGCACGTCCCTTGCTCGGCAAGACGGCGGAGGGTCGCCCTCCTCCGGTGTGGGAGAAGCGGGACTCCTTCCCCGGCTGGGGGTGGCGGCCGCCTACTTCCCGGGAGCCGGAGGAGCTAAAGCCCCTCCGTGGAGAGATGACAAGTGGACTCGGGTCGGGAAGCAGGGGGAACATTCCTCGAGCCTGGTCCCGAGCCGGCGGAGGCTGCCGAGGCAACTCGACCAACTCCGGGGTGAACGTGAGGGCGGCCGGCCCAGACTACCCGCGCGGGACGCCGCCCAGTCGGGGGAAGTGGCGAGGCCGTCCTCCGGCCCGCTCCTTCCCCACGCGGTCCGCGGCCAGCAGCCCGTCCG